AACCACCCCCCCAAACAAAAAAAAAGAATGGAATTTTGTGAAGAAAAGACAGGTTTATCAAATGATCTGTAGAACAATCACAACTAGAAACCGAACACCTTTGACCCCCTTGAAATTACACAACTTTCTTGAGAAGCTTACTTTTCAGATAATGATGTTTGTTTTCTGAATCTTTTTCTTTTCTGTAGGTGGTTGGAAAGCCTGGGCCAACTGTGATCAAAATCTCAGGAACAAACATCCTGGACAACAATGCCGTGAATGCTTTATCAGTACTTTTAACATCATTGCTTACTGCCATTACTTGCTTGTACATCTTCTAGGAATAAGGTTAGACCCCTCTGGTTTTGTTTTATACTTTATACGATGTCCGTAATTTAGTATTGATCTTCACAATTCACATACTGTACCATATTTATTTTTATGAGAAAAATTAATTTTGAGGGGGTCAAAATTGAATACCTGCTCTTTTTGGAAATTTGGTGTTAAATGAGAAACGAAGTTATTCTATCTGGATAAACGGTTAACTTGCATGTTATTCCATACAATTCTTCCAGAACATAACTATTTAGCGGAGCCTATAACCAAAATGAACAGGAAAGGTAAACATTATTCTTAACTGGGAAAGAACATAACTTTGTATATAGAGAAACTTACTTTAAAGTTGTATTTGGCTGGAAGAGTTGGTCAGAATTGTTAACTCCTAGTAACTCTTGCCGAATGCTCCAAAGCCTATGAGCTATCTCTCCTAATCGTGACATGGCCATGAAGAGCAAAGTTGTGATTTTTTGGGAGGAGTTAAAAATATCATCTATTGGCTGTAACAACTCTTGACATGGACTGATGTAACCTCCGGACTCTCGCCAACTCCTCTTCCCGAAATCAATCTAACTCCTACACCTTAACCCTCCTAGGTTTTGCCTTTAACTTGTCACTTTCCCCATCAAGAAGATGCTGTAATAGCCACTTGTCTCTGTTCCTGATAATTCAAGCAATATTTTTGGAGGATAGTCTGTTTTAGTAATGATACTTAAGTGCTTAGTGGAAGCCTTAACAATATCATGTTGTTATATTGTTACAATCAATCACACTAACTTGGTAATTTCACTATCCAGACATGAGGCATGAATCAGCTCCTGCCCTGATTGCCCTATTACTTGGCAATCTTTCATCACCAATGACGTGATAGTGAATTTAGGTCTTTTCCATTTTATTTGGTACAAAACTGAGAATCAAAGCTCACATATTCAAAGAACTTCACATTAACTCTGAACTTAGAACTAGAGTAGGTAGGCAATAACAGAGTAGAATACCATAGTGAGGGATTGATACTGTCTTGAAACAAATAAAATCACGTACGCAAACAGTGATAAGAGGAACTCAAGCAGAGTTCTTAATCGTGAAATATACAAGCGATGAAGCGATGAAGAGTGGCCTTTATTCTTATTGGAGTAGGGCTATGCACTTTAGCACACAATATCAAGAAGGGATACATGATGAAATCCAATTTTCTCCTAACAGCAGCAGCATAGCATATCCAGGCAGCACTCGCAGGTTTCAAAGCAGCAGAAGCAACAGCATGCTGCAAACAAGCTGCAAAGATAGAACATAAATAAGTAGGACTAGACCATAGTTTCAGAGAGGTGAAGAACAATAAATTTATAGGGTGAACTGGGTGATCTGTGAGACTAATTCTTTTCCACAAAGGATATTTTTTTTCTTTTTTTTCCTGGTCAGTGGTCACAGGCCAGAATCACTATTTCACTGTTTTCTCTCCAAATAAATTATTACTAGATTTTTAGGTAGTTGAAATCAACAAATTATATGTAAAAACCTGATACAAGCTTACAACCTTAAACCTATTTTTGACTCACGGATCAGTTATAAATTTATGCCATGAATCTTAATTGAAATTTCAGTTCTTTCTTCTAAATCTTCTAGACTTTATTTCGGAATATAGGCAGTAAGCTTCTTACTTCCCGATACCCGATCATGATAAAATAAATAAATAAATAAATGAATAACTTGAACTACATAATATGGATTGATACTTGGTTAAAGAGCTTCATGCCTGTCTTAGGAAAAAGAGGGAAAACTAAATTAGTTTATGGTGCAAATGGAAAAACGTACAAGTGGTTTATAAGGAAATCTAACATACATACAAACATTAGTCTGCTTTATATGTAATCAGCGCTACACAAATTTGTTGCGAACTTTTGAGTCCAGGATTTTATTCATCTGCAACCTGATACCCATAATATTTAGTTTTTCATGGAATTTTCCTAATTCTTACTCTTGTCCCAGATCAGGTTACATAAATTTGATTCATGCAGGTACGCCTCCACTTATTGTTCTCTTATAAGGTTTATGCATCTCCTTCAGATTTGCTTTTTCTGGATGCTCGTGCTTTTTCCGTGGGTGATGATGATGATGAGTATCAAATAGAATTTTAGTGCATAAAATTATTGTTAAAACAACGGGGTTCTTGAATCTCTCTTTCTTTTCTGGAAAAAGTTCATCTCCTATAATAAAAATCTTCGGTTCCCATGTTAACTGGCTTGGACATGGGTACTCTTGTCGTACGATGGGAAGGAGTGGACACAGGGCCCTACGATTCACATACTCATATATAGATTGTTGCTTCTTTATCTAAATCCCACAAGGGCGCATAGTCCTCCTAGGGGTCGACAAAGCCTTAATTTCTTTTTTTTTTCTGTGTCTTTGCCAAACATTAGGCTCTGTTAACTCTAGCTACTCTCTCACCTACTATCCTCTTTCTGTATCCAAAGCAAATCTTCAGAAAATTCGTAGTAAAATGAATGCAAGTAGACGGAAAGTAAATCAAAAAAAAATTAGGGAGTTGAGGGTGTAGTGTACCAAGCATAGAGGCAGCCCTTCTCCTCATGCCTCCTCTGTACATGGTCGTAGTAGGACATCTCCTGCGCTTGTGGTGGTGGATACATCTCTCTCTCTCTCTCTCTCTCTCTCTCTCTCTTCTCTCTTCTCTCTTCTCTCTCTCTCTTGTGGTATAAGAGGATGCACACCCAAAACACTAGGCACAAGATACACCTCTCAAATGAGGTGTGGGCTTTTTCTTTTATAGATACACAGAAGACGAGGAAGAGTTCGAATTTGGGTTGCTTCAAAATGAAGGCTCTGTTCGTATTTACAAGGATAGACCCAAGGTGATCAACTGAAGAAGCTGTGTGATTGGTTGGCTGGTCTGTTTCAAGTCATTTAAAAAAAAAGTTCTTTGTCTCCTGTTTTATCTTAGTTTTCGGTGTCATCACCACCTATGCCCATGGGGATGTTGTCATTTGTGATCTAGCGAATAGGCCCCCTCTTTTATATTTTCTTTTGCACAATACGTAGCCTTTTGAATAGAATGCAATGAAATCACAAGTATTTGTCGCAAAAAAAGCCTTGGCTATATATGGGTTAAGTACATATGGGTTAGGACTCGGGAGGCTCTTAAACTGGTTTCATGTTGCCATGACTAATGAGTTTGTATCGATATGGGTTGAATACTAAGTGTCCGCATTTTTAAAATATGTTTAACTCGTATTGATGTGGCTGGTTTCCTTCTAGGAACATATCAGCAGATAAACATTTTAAGTTTTTTTCCTCAAGAAAAAACAAGGACTTGTGAAGTTTTTACCTCTGTTTGAAAATGGGGCCACTATCATACCGAGAGTTTTTTTTTTCTCTGCAATTTATCATTCACAAATTTATAAACTTAACAGGTAGGAGAGAGATTCCACATCCTTCTCACAGCTAAATTGTTATATTTAATGCATTGGTTAGTATGTTTTCCATGCTTATTATTTTTGAAGTTGTTAACTAGAGGAAATAATCACAGGGTGGCTCTCCTCATCCTTGAAATATCAATTAATTTATATTTAAAATACTCTACATAAACCTCATCAGCAGCCTTTCTTGAGTTCCAACTCTGAACGCTGACGATTAGACGGAAAGAGGTGGGGGGTGAATTAGGCAAACAGGGGAGACTAGGAAATGCTGTAGATATTTTTTGAAACGTGAATGGGGGGCCATCTTGGAAAAAGATATGAGAACAGGTGTCTTTGGAAGAAACGCATTTGGTCTATTCATCAAATCTCATAAGAAAATGACAACATTGAGTTGATCGCCCGAAGTCATCATGACTTGTATCAAGGGGAACATTTTTTTTTTCCACACGGTAGGATTCTTGAAGCGTACATTTTTTTAAAAAACTCAAACTCGTTCATTGACCTCCGAGTTTTATGAGTAATCGTGTTCATACGAGTGACCAGTATATTACAGCCAAGTGATGGCGTGCTTTGATTGGTGATTCGCAAGGAAATTGTGCAAACGACTAATTCCTCTCCTCTAGCGAGTTGTAGATTATTGGTGTGAAATTAGTATTACTCAGATTTTGTTTTCAAGGGTTTATTGTTTGGCCACTGTTAATTCTGGTCACGTGCGACACATGTAATTTTAGCTAATAAAGGACGGAGGAAGATCGAGCGGGTCGCCTAAGGTTGCGTAGCTGCTAAGGAGCGTATTCTTTTTCGGTAATTGGAGAGCATATTCCCATTAAGATAGAACACAAAAGTAACATCCAAATATTTTGATGCAAACTATGTTATCAAGTCTTGATCAATCCATCGATTGCGGTCATGCTGGCGTCTCAGCTTACAGGTACCATGACTTTTAAGGATGCAGACGCTACTAAAAAAAAATATTGGATTAGGTAGACCTTGAACTGGGAGGGCTGATTCTGTACACTCTAAATTGTAGAGAACTCTTACAGTTAGTTATGTGGAATAGTAGTGGTGGCCCATTTAGTAGGGCTCATAATTAAAAGATGTTCGTTTAATTTAGATAAAATAACAAATATCATTTATGGGGTTCCGAGAGTGATGGGTTGTGATCAGTGAGTTATAAAAGCCCTCTACAATTAAGGATGTAGAGTATCCGTCTGGATTTTCTACATTCTACATTGTAGAGAACTCGTACAATTAGTTATGTGGATGAATATTAGTGACTCATTCAGTAGGCTAATTAAAAGATTTTTTTTAATTGTTATAAGTATATTCGAAAATATTCTGCTTGAGTTATTGGTAACATTACTGAACTATCACTACAAAAACCATTCTCCAAGTTCTGAAAATATAGTTGCTTCTAAAGGGTTAAACATAATATGCCCATGAAATGGAACTAAGATCAAGGAATTTTGAAAATAAATAGTCTGAATATGTTATTTGCAAAAATTTGGTAATACTTGGAGCTAAAAAGTAAGTATGATCGTTCAAAGGTGTTGGCATTTTTAGCTTAGAAGTTCTAGAAGTTCTTATCGTCTAAAAACCAAGCGGATTGGCACCTTCATCACATTCACACGCAAAATCATTGAATTGTCATGAGCCCACCAACTTGGCATAAATCTCTATTAAAAATCGTGCCAACTTGCTGTTAACGACTAGTAATAGACAAATTGGCCTCACATCAAGCTACAATTCAAGTGAAGAGCATGTTTGGTTTGTCTTTAGTTTAATTACACAGGAGCCCATTTGGTTGGGTAGCTATAGTCACGTTACAGCGCTCAACATCCACCCAACTTTTGCATCGTCAGCGGGTTGTTGGTTAATTGTGCAGCGAAGTTGTAGCTGCATGGTCCCAAAATGAATAGTGGCAGCTGGGATAAAAGATTTGCCAATTTTCATCAATCCAGTGTGCTGTGATACATAAATATCCAGTTTGTATTCTAGATGTCCAAATATCAGAAGTTAAAGA